ATGAAGAGCTCGCACTAGAAACAGGGCTATACATCAAAAAATAAACAAAACCAGCTTTGCACCATGAACGCATACACGCCGTGCACCCGTTCACATACGCGTACAGGTGCCCTCTCAGGTGCTCGTGCACCCAGCACCAACCAAATATGTATACGCAGCACCAACCAATTTACGCATACAGCGTACGGATTTGGTCTTTGATTTCTTTTTTCACCTCCTCAGATTTGGCTATGAATTCCAAGATGACTGTCAGCCAAAAGTTGACCGTGAGGAAGCAGGCAATCACCCGGGTGGACAAGAAAGTAATCTCCAAAGTGGGCAAAGTTTCACCGATCAAAGGCACTTTCAAATTAGGCAGGGCTCTTTTCTTAAACACTCAGTGTTCTCAGGTATCTGGTATTGAGGATCAATCAGCAGATTGGAGAAAAAAGCCTACATAATGACTGCTTGCCGGACTGATTTGTTCAGATTTCGGTGTTCTACTGTGTCTGTTGAGTGCGTCGCTAAAGCACCCCAAATTCTCTCTCTCATTTCCTCCACAAATCATAACAAACCATCCATAATGAAAAAGTATAGATGCATTCAGACTCCTCTCGATTTCACGTCCAACATGCATACATGCAGATGCCGGTGGCAAAACAACTTCGTCAAAGCAGAATCAGCACAAACTTGAGATGGCGCAGTACACCCACACAGAAAACTCAGGGATATGGCCTCCGGCCAGGAACTCGGCTCAATACAACTTGTCACATCTTGCGGCTGTGGCGTCTAAGAGCCAGTCTGAAATTCCCACCCGAACACTCTATCCACCATCAGACACACTCACGCACGTACGCACACAACACTTGGATCTACCCTGAATGTCTGCACTCACACACACTATCTTCTATCTCCTGTCTTCTACACACGGGGGGCTATGCCGCCGTTGTCTTCCTCCTCCTACCGGCTATGGCCACTTGCCCTCTTCAACCCGGGCTCTCCTGCTGACCACCTGTGACTCAACGCACAAGTCACTCAAGCAGCACTTCAGCGTAGTTTGTCTCAGAATGAGTGAATGACTGATCACTGCCTCTATATTTATACTGTTTCGTTTGGTGGTCTTGGCCTGCCCGATGTCCCAGGCCCTCAAGATGTGCAGTCCCACTCTGGTACTTGCTGCAAAACGGACTGGACTGGGACTGCCTTTTCATGTGCCCCTTCGGGGTTGACTTGGGACTCTTGACCTGTCAGAGATTTGACGGGCTGCCTCTACTGACTTCGAGAGGTCAAGTTGACTCTTTGAGACCTAACCTAGCCATCACCTTCTGACCTTTCAGAGGACGTATGGCCAGTTGACCTTTCGAAAGGTCAACTGTAAACTTGCCTTTTCGGGCCACCTACAGTCAACCCTGAGACTTCTAAACAGTAGACCTACGGATCAAATCCACACAACCCGGGCCTCACACGCAACGCATTTATACACGGGTTTGGGGACAGGCCGTGGGTTCAAGGCGCACGGGGTCAACGAACAACGCAAATGTACTGTACACTGGGTTGGGGAAAGTCTGGGGATCAAGCCCCGGTATCTGCAATTGTTGCACGAACTGGGTGAAACCCTTTCACTCCCGCCATCCTAAATTTGAGGTCCTCCAAGAACCCTTTATTCCAAGGCACGACCTTTTCCTTTTCTCGCTCTCTCATAAGCATGGACTACATTGGCAGCAGATTCTAGAAGTTCTGTCCTGGTGAACTATTTGTCGTCCTCAGGTTCCTGGTAAGCAAACCTGACTTTGTATCGCTTCTGGGGATGACCTCTACCTCCGGTTTGGAATACATCTTCTTCCAATATTCGGTCTATGTCATATGTGCCATCCATATCTGGCGGAATCATGGATCTCCGCGATGGAAACTGGTCACTAGTGACACAAGGCAACAACTTTGATGCATGAAAGACCACATACGTGTGGAGGTGAGTCGGGACCTCTATGGTATATGATGGTCCGTCCTCTCCACCTTTAACTTCTAGGACAGGCCACGGCCCTCTATACCTGAGCAAGAGCTTCTGTGAGATGTTTTCATCTGGTGTGAATTCCTTTGACTTGACCCAGACTAAATTGCCTACTGTGAATTGCGATGGTCTGCAATGCTTATTCGCTTGCTCAATCATGCGATGTTGGGTTTTTCTAAGGTTCTCGATCACCATTTTAACTTTGTTCTCGTGCTGCAGAGCAAACTCTCTTTTACCGGGAGGTAACCTTTGAATCTGGTCCCAGCTCAGTCCTTCAAACAGCCTACGTGGTCTAACACATATGCAACTCGTTAGGAGTTCTTGATGTAGCTAGGTGTATACTGTTATTGTAGGCGCTAGCGCTTTTAGGGAGCATCTCGTCCCAATTCACTTGATCTGGTCTAATATACATTTTGAATAATTGCTGCAAGATCTTATTCATTTGTTCTATCTGGTCGTTCGTCTTTGGACGACGACCTGGCGACATCAATAGCTTAGAGTCGTAGACTTTCATGAGATCTTGCCAATTCCGGCTGGTAAACCGCATGTCTCTGTCACTAACTATTGACAGCGGTATGCCATGCTCACTTACCCAGAAGTCAAGAAACTTCTTTATAACTAACTCGGTTTTTGACTCGGCGGGCAATGGTACGAAAACGACATATTTGCTAAATCAATCAATTACGACCATGACTTGACTTTTCCCATGCCTACTCCTGACCCCTGTATCAATGAAGTCAATGGAAATAGATTGTCTGGGTCCTTCCTGGATAGGCAAATGTCTAAGAAGACCTAGAGGTGCTCTTGTTGTTGTCTTGTTGCGTTGGCAGACTTTGCAACCGCAGATATAGTCTATACAATCTGCTTTCATGCCAGGCCATGTATACAACATCGATAGCTTGGCTAATGTCTTTTGTCAGTCGAAATATCCTTTTGTATCATGGCATTCCCCTAAGAGCAAACTGCGGATCTCTTCACTATTGGGGACGCATAATCTATCAATGACATTGGTCTTCTCAAAGAGTAGCCCGTTCGTGGTTCTATAATATGGCTCGCTATCACAGGTTTCCTTAACTCTTCTCAGGAGATCACTATAGATCGGGTCCTGAGTGTACGCATCTCTTATTTTCTGTTGTAGATCTACTCCTATGTCTAGACAGTGCACTATTGCCCCAAAGTCATCAGCGCTCCCACTGAGGGCATCAGCTACCACGTTATACTTGCCTTTGACCAGTTTCAACTCAAAGTCAAATTGGTCTATCTTCGCTGCCCACCTAGTCAATTTCGCCATCATCTTGGCTTGTGTCTTAAGTCATCTCAGAGTCATGATCTGAGTAGACTTTAAAGTGCCTCCCAAGCAAGTAATGTCTCCAATGATCAAATGTTTGACTAAGAGCGTAGAGTTCTCTCTCATACGTCGAGGCTGCTACTTTAGCAAAAGGCAGCCTAGCTGACATGAACTCTACGAATTTATAGCCATCGTCGTCATTCTGCTGTAACACAGCGCCTATGCCATATTGGCTTGCATTTGTCATGACCACGAAGGCTAATGAGGGATCAGCCACCTTGAGGACAAGATATTCTACCAAGGCCTTCTTTAATTTCTTTAAGACTAAGGTGCAGCCTCTATCCCACTTCCATATCGCTTCCTTCTTTAGGAGTCTGCAAAGGGGAGCAGTGACAGCAGAGAAGTTTCTTACAAACTCTCTGTAGTAGTTGGTCAGTCCTAAAAACAATCGCAACTCAGTCAGAGTACGAGGAATTGGAAAGTCTCTAATCGTTGCTATCTTTCCATCCTTTGGTCTGATATCATCTCCATCCAACACATGGCCCAAGTACAGGACTTCTATCTTGGCCCACTCGCACTTTTTTGCATTGATCTTGAAGTTGGCTTCTCTCAGCTTCTCCAAGATCTGCCTTAGATGGCCCTCATGTTCTTGGAGGGACTTGCTAAGAACTAGGATATCGTCTAAATACACTACGACGAACATATCTAGCCACGGTCTAAACAAGTCATTCATATAGTGTTGAAATGTGGTTGGTGCATTAGTTAGTCCAAAGGGCATCAAAGGTGACGCCAGCAAGAGTTCCAAATGGGACTATCTTTGCATGAACCGCACGAGGAAAAGGTGATTATCATAGTTGCGGCGCACCTCGGTGCGCGGATTTGCGCACGAATTGCGCACCGCGCGCAGTGCACCGCACAGCGCACCGAAGCGCAGCGCACTGGAAAAATTAGGTCCAAAAAAAAAATAAAAAAAAAGGGTTTTGAAATTTCTTAGGGCCCCCAACTCGGCAAAAATGTTAAAGTCACCACGTGAGCTCGAAAAACAGCCGCGCCCCTGGCCCGAACTTTTCTTTTGGGTAAGGGCTGCCGAATTCCAATTTCCGCAGGCCCTTCCCCCAAAAAATTCAGAATGGCGATAAAGAGCAACGCGCACGACGGTCCTCCCGGCCAGGTCATGCAGGACATGGCTTGGTATGTCTCCTGGATGCGCACATAAAGAGCAACGCGCACGAGGGTTTTCCCAGCCATGTCACGCAGGACATGGCATGGTATGTCATAAACATACAAGAGTGAGGTACCGCGCCGGCCGAGTGCACCATCTATACTTTTTGCGGATCCCTGCGACAGAACAGGGCGCCGCGAGGTACAACTTACCTCCACCTAAGAAGCTGTCACCATCCGTAGGTGGGCAT